AGCGCTTTTTGGCGTAGTTTAGCGCTTCCATTACTCTAACGATTCTCAGACACCCACTGGTGCTATTGTTTCCACGTACAGCTAACTGATATCTGTTCCTTTATATTTTGATTTGCTTATGTTTGTGTGCTTCCAAGCAATGAGGTGAATGTCTCACCACTTTCTCCTCAAGTCAATTTGTCTTGAGCCTTAGCACGTTTCTTCTCAATGCAATCGCTACTGCCTGTTAATAAGTAGGCTCGCCTGGCGGGCATCAGTTTTGGTGACTCGGGTACGATGGTCTCTGTTATGCGATCTGCGTTAATGCGTACCACCGCTGCGTTCGTCCTGTGACATTTACACCACTCATTCCTCTACGGGTGTCTCCAATATCGTTTTCATGGCCCCAGGTTGTGTTGTCTCCATGGTCCCAATTTCGTAATCAATGGTCTCAAGCTACGGATCTGGAAGTAGAGGTGTTGAAATCTTGCAAAAAATTAGGCATACTACTGACATCAAACCCAAGCCAGTATCGTACAACTGATGTCACAGGAGGGTTAACATTGCTGCATGATAAATGTCACTCCTTTTGCAACGTTCTCATTCTGTTGTTAACTTCGCCTCCTTCACTCTCAGCACTTACTGCTCCGCGTTGATCGTTTAAATAGTATTCAGACAGGATAAAGTCAACTGCTGAATGGAAACGAATACCTACAAATACAAATGCAACAAAGTATCTCTAATTAAGACATTTTTATCTGCTGAGCTACAATCACGAAACGATTTGTTTGGCCCGTCGGACATTCACAATTTTAGAGAGCGTAAACTGTGTCGATCCTGTCCTGCAAACGGCGTCACCTTGTCAACATTGTAGACATCTAAGAGGATGCATCTAAAGCCAGGCAAGTTATCGATTTCGTCGAAGTTGCGGATCTTCACTGGAAGGATGGATGGATCTGCATCAATCTTAACTTAAAGAAACTTATCTTTCTAGTCCTCATCACTCTCGGTGAGTGAATTCAGATTCGTAGAGGTGGTAAATAACTTCATTCTCACTGTTGCAGGCACGTGTTCTCCCTCCTCCCATACATCCGCTTCTGGCATTCTGCACAATTCGGCAAAAGCTTCCTCTGCGACTACCAATAGTCAGAACCTCCTCATGATCAGTGGAGGTATCAGTGATTTGGAGCACTGTCATCAGGATGACGGTGGTGAGTGGCATCTAAAAAAGGAAATTTACTTTTCTATCTCTCTCATCCTCCCTCCCTGACCATCAGGATACTAAGCTAATTATTTCGAACTACCTTATTTGTTCACTAGTCACTAATTTTGGCATTTGGATACAGAGAGGTGTGGACGGATAGTTAGATAGAGAGATGGATACAAGGATTGATGGATAAGGAGCGGATGCGTGATGGGTGAAGAAATTTATGCATATAGAGGTGCTTGAATGGATTACTATTAGGATGGAGACATAAGAGGATGAGTAGATGATGGGCAAGGTGTGGATGGATGAATGGATATATATGTGTATGAGTAGAAAACAGATGGATCGTGAAATCCTTGCATGGAGGAAAAGTTGAACGAATAGGTGAAAAAATGGGTCTAGAGTACAATGTATTTACTTCAGCATCACGGTCCTATTTTTGCTGAAAACGCCCAAGTCTTGGACGTGCTTTCTACGTGTATTCAAGTGGTGCCACATTGCAACCCAACCAATTCTGGTGCTACCAAGGCCGCTTCATCCATTTTATATTTCCTACATAATCGACGCATTCATTTGTCTTCAAGATTTCAGTCTTCATCGCTGTCGTCTTTATCATAGCTTTTTTTATCTTCTCCAGTATTTGTGCCCCATCCATCACAGTCAGCATTACGTACATATGTCTTCTTCCTCTGCCTCCTCCAATTTTACACATACGTCCACTATGCCCCTTATTTTCCTTCGTGTAGGAAACCATCTCCCTAAATTTCACCACCTTCAGAATCAATTTTGTCGATGAATACGACGACGGTCTTGCGAGTAATCGCATCACCTTCCGCCACCAGGTCAATGCTGTCAGTGACATAGGGAGAGGCATCCATTTCTTCCAGGGGTACCCTCTACGTCTGTCTTTGACATAAACGACAAAATTGATGACAAAGTGAGAAAAGAAGATCTTTGAACTGCACATCTATTGTCTTTTGATATAAGGAATTCACATCTTCCTGCAATTTATGCAGGTAAAATCGGCCTTCACATGACAAATCTTCCCCCACATTCAGTGAAGATTCCATCGCCTGCACAAGATACAAGGCAATGCTATCGCTTGCATCTGAAGTCCGAGAATGAAGAATCCGCACTTTTTAGGCCTTGGAACGATATTTATGGCCGGTTTGAGGGTTGAGTCAACGCCAGATCGAATGTGGACTGCAAAGTAGTGGATGGCTCTCCACGTAGCCCTAGTAGCATCAACTTGGATGTGGGAAACGGTGAAGATATTCACAAGGACAGCGAAATGCAAGAATGAAAAGGTGAATAGAAATGATAAATACAATGTCTCAGGAGATGACGAAAAGCATAAAGATTTGAATGGATGGAATACAGTGAGGTGTAAGAAGAGGCGATGGTGAGTGCAGAAGACAAGATGAATCGTCCGCAAAAGGGTGCAAAAGAAGGAAGATAAAGTCCTACCACCATCAGAGACTTGTTTATACACCTTTAGTGAATGCAGGGGTAGTATATTTACTTCCTTCAATTTTACCTGCACAGTCAATTGTTCATCTCCCTTTCATTAAGCTCCTTCACTTACATGGTAATCAGTACTCAGTTCTCTGCCTCGCAGACCTCCAGTCTTCATGATGTTCATCTTCATCATTTAAGACTTTGTCATAGTCATCATCTTTATAGATGACGTCGTCATTTTCATTTTCAACTTCATTAAAATACTTGTCGTCTTCAACACTATCCTTGTCCTCTCCATAGTCCCCGTCGTCTTCTTCATGCTCCTGCTCATCACAATTCTCGACGTCACCATCTTCCTTGTTTTCGACATAAACACCCTAATCTCTGTCATGCTCTTAGTCTTCCCAATTTTCATCGTCTTCGCCTACTTCTAAACGTTCGTGCTTATCATAATTACTTTGCCTCCCTCATCTTCCTCTTTTCATAACATCCTTCATATTATCATCCCAAACTTCATAATTGGCCTTATCCTCTTCATCCTTTACATCAGTTTCATTTTTAAGTCCTGTCCACCGTTCTCATCGCCAACTTCATGCTTAAGTACATCGATGCCTTCATTCCCATTATGGATGTGCATTTTATCCCTGTCGTCGACTACTTGCCTGTCCCCATTGACATCTACTTCTTCCTTGCGCACGTGTCACTCACCTGTGTGGTCGTCTTTTTCACGTCTCCATCTACTATCCTCGATGTCTATAGGTTCCCACAACAATTTAATGTTGCCAGAGATATGTAAAGGATAATTGGCCTCTTCACGGTGTCACGCAGAACAGGTGTTAGTTCAAGAAGTAAACACGAAGACAAGCAGAACAGCAAGGATGTGCACACTTTCCATTATCAAACTCTCGATGGATGACGGTCATATTTACATTGGTCTTGAAAGCGGATTTGTATGATTGATGAAAGACAGGAGAAAAATATTTGGTTAGCAATTTAGATGGGATGTAGAGAAGTGCCGGTTGAATAGTCTGTG